TTCCGGTGCAGGAGAGGTCCTGCGGCGACTTGGGCGAGGAGGGGCACGCCCCCGCCTCCACCTTCATGTTCGCCAGCAGCTGCTGCTGCTCCTGTTCCTGCTGGTTCTCCGAGTCGCCACCCATTTTGCCTGTGGCGACGGGCCCATCGGCGGACCCCTCCTCCAGCTTCACCAGCAACGAGTCGACCACCTTGGAGGTGGTCGAGTCGCTGCTGTTGCTCTCCNGGAGGGGCACGCCCCCGCCTCCACCTTCATGTTCGCCAGCAGCTGCTGCTGCTCCTGTTCCTGCTGGTTCTCCGAGTCGCCACCCATTTTGCCTGTGGCGACGGGCCCATCGGCGGACCCCTCCTCCAGCTTCACCAGCAACGAGTCGACCACCTTGGAGGTGGTCGAGTCGCTGCTGTTGCTCTCCGCGTCCATCTTCTCCAGCAGCTGTCGCTGCTGCTGCTGCTGCTGCTGCTCTTCCGCAGTGAGCTTTCCCTCTCCAGAGCCTTCAGACTTTTCGTTGGCTGGAGTGGACGTCTCGGCCTGGTCAGCAGCAGAAACGGCGGCAGGAGTGGTTATGGTGCCGTCTTCGGCCTTTTCCAGTGCAGAGGGCGGCTGCTTCTCATCGGAGGACGTCTCCATGGCCTCCTCCTCCTTCTTGATGCCCTCCTGCTGAAGTGCCTCCAACTTGGGCTTCACCTCATCGGCGGCCGTTGCTGTTTCGGCGCCCTCGCTCTTCACCTCGGCCTTTGTCTCAGCGCTTCCTCCCTCCTTGATGGCCTGGTCGTGGCCATCACCGGCGACGGCCTGTGCCCCATCCTTGGCCACAAGAAGCGGCACAAGTGAGGCCCTGTCCTCCTCCTTGTCGTCGTTGTTGAGCTTCTTTCGCTTCGCCTCCGAGGTGGTGGCGGCGGGTCCTTCCGCTGCCGAGCTGCCGCCATCATTGGCGGCTGCACCGTCGGCGCCCGTCTCTGAAGTGGGGTCAGTACCTTCTTTAGCGTCCAGATTGGAGAAGTGCCGCTTCTTGGGAAGGGCCGCCTTGCTGAGATCACCGGAAGCTGCTGCTGCTGCTGAGATCTCGTCGGCTTTGCCGTTCGCAGAGGACTTCGCTTCAGCAGTTGAGCCATTGGAGTTGCCTTCCAGCTGCAGTGCTGCTGCTGTCGCCTGTTGTTGTTGTTGTGGTTGCGGTTCATCGCTCGTCTCCGAGGACTTTGAGTTGCCGCGGTTGAGCTGCTTTGAGGAGCTGCTGCCTCCACTTCCCTTTTCGGCGCCCTTGCTCTTGCGCGTTCGCAGATTGGGCTTGCCATTGCTCAGGCTGCTGCTGCCGGAGTCGTCCTCACCAGCCGGTCCTCCTGCTGTTCCTCCTTTGGTCGGTGTGGACGCTGCTGAGGAGGCGCCTCCAGCAGCGGTAGCCTCCTTCTCCGGCCCTCCTCCTCCTCCTCCTCCGTCCACCCGTCGGTGCTTGCCGTGCTTCTTCATGTAGCTGCGACACTCGGCGCAGAGCAGCGACCGGTCGGTGCCCGTCTGGCAGAGCTCCTTCGCGAGGACGCCGCAGTTGCTGCAGGCCAGGCAGTTGCTGGGGTCGAGGTTGGCTGAGCCGCCGCCGCCGATGCCGCTGCTGTTGTCTCGTTGATCTGCTGATGCTGCTCCTGTTGCTGTTGATCCTCGGTCCTTGTTCGCATTCGAGTCCGAGTCGTCGGTGTGGTGAAGTGCACCGCCGCCGCCTCCGCCGGCAGCGTTTGCTCCCTCGAGCAGTGCTGATCCGCCGCCTCCTCCGCCGCTTTGCTGGTCGACGATAGAGAGCAGCTCCCGATCGGAGCTGTCCGATTCCTCCTGGTTCGTCTTGCCGCCGCCCGTTGCTGTGTTGGCACCAGCTGCAGCTGCTGTGCCGCCGTTGTTCGCCGAGTCCTTGCGAATGCGTCGCAGGACGCAGCGACGGTGTCGGCGGTGAGGTCGGGCAGAGGCCGCCTGAGGGGTCCTCTTCCACAGGTAGTAGTACTCTACTAGGTCAGGCTGGAAAGTGAAGTGGTAAAAAGAGGTGAGACGATGATGTTAGAAAAGCCAAAACNGAGTCCTTGCGAATGCGTCGCAGGACGCAGCGACGGTGTCGGCGGTGAGGTCGGGCAGAGGCCGCCTGAGGGGTCCTCTTCCACAGGTAGTAGTACTCTACTAGGTCAGGCTGGAAAGTGAAGTGGTAAAGGTAAGGTGAGATGATGATGTTAGAAAAGCCAGAACANCGCCTGAGGGGTCCTCTTCCACAGGTAGTAGTACTCTACTAGGTCAGGCTGGAAAGTGAAGTGGTAAAAAGAGGTGAGACGATGATGTTAGAAAAGCCAAAACAAAACAACCGCCGAACTTACAGTTTCCTTATGTGAGAGAAGTTCTTTGCGAATTTTGAAAAAGTTTTTGCCGTAAAGTCGAAGGCCCTTGACGAATCGTTTCTAAGAAAAGAATAAGATGAGATTGGTGGAACGCGGTTAAACTGTGTGTGGTGACATCTCTCCTTATTCTCTCCTCGTACCTGTTCCTCCTCGGTCCACTTCTTCTCAATTCCCTTGGGAACGGGACTTTTGACGAGAGCGTTCAGCGCTTTACCGGTATCGTAGTGGCTTTCGTGAAGCTGCAACATAACGTGAATAATGAGAGCACATTGATTAGTACTGGTAGTGGTAATATGTGTGTAAAGCATGCAAGTATGTATTGATTGATTAGCATTAGCAAATGCTGATGCTGATGGTGTGGGGCTGATTAGGTCTGGAGATGGTGGTGGTGGTGGCGGCATCGGTGCTGATAAGCCCACCAAGTGAGTGAGAGCAGTAAGGGTGAGAAACAACAACCAAACCAAAAGGCTACATACCAATTGAAGAGCGTTAATCGTAGTGTCGTCTCGTGAGGCAGCCAGACAGCCGTCTTCGGCGGAACCACCGTCGCACATACCCGCAAAGGCAGCCATGCTCCGCGCGGCCCTCAGGTACATCTTCAGGTCACAGTCCGCCAGACCCGGCGTCCAGCGAAGGTCCTCCAGTGTGGCGCATTTCTCGGGCATCTCACGCGGCGATACATCCAGCTTGCAGTCGGGCAGACGGGCCTGGTGTGCGGGACCAACGCGAATTTCGCCCCCGGAGTTGGCGGCCAAGTCGTCAGCCACCTTGTCGGCTCGACCTTACTGCACGACGAGGACGGCGGCGGCGTGATGGCGGCGGCGGCGGCGGCGGCGACGGCCTGGTGACCGGCGACGGCGATCGACGATCAGATCGGGTGCAAAAGTGGTAGGATGGTGTCGATGTTCGCTGATGAATGATGAGCAGCGGTGAGATTTATAGTAGACAACAACAATGGAAGAGCTAGTGATTAGTCGACACAACAATTAGAAATTAGAACTTGGTGGTGTCGAAGAAAGAAGTCAACACAGTGGTGGGATAGGTGTCTGTGTTGTTTGCTATGGTGGTGATGGTGGTGGTGGCCGTCTTCTTTGGCGACGAAGACGAGCGTCTACGAGAGAAGAAGTTGAAGCTGAAGCTGAAGCTGAAGCTGAAGCTGCTACGACGACGGCAGCCACTGACGGCGGGCGCAATGGCAGAAGATGATGGTGAGAGAGAGAGAGAGAGAGAGAGAGCGGGAGAAAGAGGGAGAAGATGCACTTTACATTTAGAAATGAAGTGTGATGAAGGGGAGAGCAGATCAGGGTGGACAGACAACAATCAGAGAGAGAGAGAGAGAGAGAGAGAGAGAGAGAGANGAGAGAGAGAGAGAGAGAGAGAGAGAGAGAGAGAGAGAGACTTGATGGAAGCGAATGAATGAGTGAGGGAAAGAGGAGAGAACGAAACTCTCAGCAGCAGCCACACACAAAGAGACTCCACCTCTGCTCGCAGTGGCTCGCAGTGTCAATACCGAGCCCGGGGGATACTGCTCAAGAGACTGCACTCTTGGGGAACACAGTAGGATTCTCTCACTCACTCTCCTGCTCACTCTCTAGTTTGGATACTCTCCAGTTGTTCGGCGGCGGCAGAGCAGTGTGTGTAAATAGCTTTAAGTGATTGGAAGATCGGTAGCCGGCCGAGCTGGGTTGATATGGTCACAGAGGCAGCAGCAGCCTAAGCTTTTGGAACGCGTGGAGCGAGTGTACGACGATTGCGCGGCGCTCTGTACAAAGTAGTGGACGTTTGCGATTGTGATTCCCGGCTCTTCTTCCATCAAACCGATTGGCTTCCNAAGCTTTTGGAACGCGTGGAGCGAGTGTACGACGATAGAGTTGCGCGGCGCTGTACAGTTGTGGACGTTTGCGATTGTGATTCCCGGCTTCTTCTCTTCTGCTCTTCTTCCATCAAACCGATTGGCTTCTCCGGCTTTGATGCCCCCGCTTACCTGCACCCAAATACTAGCCTCAGCTCTCCAGCGTAGTAGTTCACGAGGTGTTGCGTCAGCTTTCCAGCACCGATCCGTTTTCTCAGCAGCAGCAGCGACCAGCAAAGCCAAGCACTTCTTCTTCATTCCCCGCTTCTCTCCTACAACTGCAGCAGCAGCAGTATTACCTCCTTCCAGGCGAGACTTGCATCATTCTTCTGTAAGATGCACTGAGAGAGATAGCAAAGCTTCTCTTGTTGACTGTTTATAAGCCACGTCCTCACCTCTTTCTAACCTTTTTCTTTTTCTTTTTGCCTTACTTTCACTGGTTTAGGTTCACCTCAAGATGGCTGCCACCGCTGCCGAAGTACCGGTTCAACAACCGGCCGTTGATAAGCTAAGCGAGAAGCTGGCCACTGTCACCCTCAGCGAGCTCAGCCCGCCGCCGGACTTCATCGAGTCCCGACTGAAGCTCTGGGCGAAGTTCAAGGCCCGCTACGAGGCGGAGCTGGCGGAACGCCAGGCGGCCAGCGTGGAGATCACCATTCGGGCGACGAACAAGGACGGCGAGCTGCGCGAGGTGAAGGGCAGCAGCTGGAAGACCGCCCCGGCGGACATTGCCCGGCAGATCGGGCCGAAGTCCTGGCACGAGACGCTGGTCATCAGCAAGGTGAACGGCGTCCTCTGGGACCTGGAGCGGCCGCTGGAGGGCGACTGCGACCTGCAGCTGATCAACTTCGAGGACGACGAGGGCAAGGCGGTCTTCTGGCACTCCTCGGCGCACATCCTCGGCGAGGCCATTGAGAAGCTGTACGGCGGGCACCTCTGCTACGGGCCGCCCATCGAGAGTGGCTTCTACTACGACGTCTTCATGTGCAACGGCCACGGCCACGGCGGCGATGCCGCTGCTTCAGCTCTGCCGGACGCCGTCTCGCAGACGCACTACCCCGCCATCGAGTCCTCGATGAAGGCGATCGTCGGCGAGAAGCAGCCCTTCGAGCGGCTGGAGCTGACCAAGGAGGAGCTGCTGGAGATGTTCGCCTACAACCAATTTAAGGTGCGCATCCTCCAGGAGAAGGTCACCGAGCCGAAGACCACCGTCTACCGGTGCGGCACGCTGATCGACCTCTGTCGCGGGCCGCACGTCCGCCACACCGGCAATGTGAAGGCCTTCAAGGTGACCAAGGTAAGTTTTTCGTTTTTTGTTTACTTTTCAATTTCTATTTCTACTTTCCCTTTCTCTCCGCCCCCCTTTTAGAACTCGAGCTCCTACTGGGAGGGCAAGGTGGAGGCGGAGAGCCTGCAGCGCGTCTACGGCATCTCCTTCCCCGACACGAAACAGCTGAAGGAGTGGCAGCGCTTCCAGGAGGAGGCGGCGAAGCGCGACCACCGCAAGATTGGCCGCGACCAGGGCCTCTTCTTCTTCCACGAGCTCAGCCCGGGGTCGTGCTTCTTCACCCCTCGTGGTGCCCACATCTACAACACGCTCATGGACTTGATTCGGGTAAGAGGAGGGAGAGGGAGTGTTTTAGTGTTCAATCTCCTTTAACACTTTCTTTATCATCACCATCTCAGAGCGAGTACCGGAAGCGCGGCTTCCGCGAGGTCGTCTCGCCCAACATCTACAACATGAAGCTGTGGGACATCAGCGGCCACAGCGAGCACTACGCCGAGAACATGTTCCAGTTCGACCTGGACAAGGAGAAGTTCGGCCTGAAGCCGATGAACTGCCCCGGCCACTGCCTGATCTTCGACTCTGACGTGCGCAGCTGGCGCGACCTGCCGCTTCGCTTCGCCGACTTTGGCGTCCTCCACCGCAACGAGTTCTCCGGGGCGCTCAGCGGCCTGACGCGCGTCCGTCGCTTCCAGCAGGACGACGCGCACATCTTCTGCGCCCTGGAGCAGGTCTCGGCGGAGATCAAGTCCGCCCTGGCCTTTCTCTCCTTCATCTACGACCAGTTTGGCTTCACCTTTGAGCTCAATCTCTCCACCCGGCCCGAGGGCTACCTGGGCAGTCTGGAGGACTGGAACGCGGCGGAGGCGGCGCTGGAGGGGGCGCTCAATGCGAGCGGCTTCGCCTGGAAGCTCAACCCCGGCGACGGCGCCTTCTACGGCCCGAAGATTGACATCACCATCAACGACGCCCTTCGGCGGCCCTTCCAGTGCGCCACCATTCAGCTCGACTTTCAGCTGCCCATTCGCTTCAACCTGATGTACAGCGCCGAGGACGGGACGAGGAAGCGGCCGGTCATCATCCACCGCGCCATTCTCGGCTCCATTGAGCGCTTCATCGCCATCCTCACGGAGAACTTTGCCGGCAAATGGTAAGCGGGGTTTTGGGGTTTTTTGGCGTATTTTCAATACCTTATCTTTCCTTTTTATTGCAGGCCATTCTGGATCTCCCCTCGCCAGGCGATCGTCCTCCCCGTCGGCCCGAGCAACAACGACTACGCGGAGCAGGTCCGCCAGCAGCTCTTTGACGCCGGCTTCCAGGCCGAGTCGGAGATTGACCCCGGCCTGACCATCAACAAGAAGGTGCGCAACGCCCAGCTGGCGCAGTTCAACTTCATTCTGGTCGTCGGCGACAAGGAGATGGCCAACGGCTCGGTCAATGTGCGCACCCGTGACAACAAGATCCACGGCGAGATTGGCGTCACCGAGCTGATTGCCAAGTTTGCCAGCTTCAAGGCGAACCGGGTGATCAACGCCGAGGAGGTCTTTTAAGCAAAAGGCGTGTCAGTTTCTTCCCCTTTTCTAACTTTGCACTTGCATTGGTAGTGCCGGCTTTTGTCGCTCCGGGTTCTTTCCGTTATTATACCCCGATGATTAGTAATCACACATTTTGTATAAGTATAAAAATATTTGAATACATTAAAAAGAAGGGATGATGAAGACTGAGTTGAATGGGCTGTTATGTACAGTTGAAATTGAGGCCTTTTGGTTGAGAAGAGGGAGGAGGAGGAGGAGGAGCCAGCACCTTTCGCACGCGATTCAGGTGACCGTTGAGCTCGTTCTGCAGGTGCGCCACCTGCTTGGCCGCCTTGACGCCCTTTGATTGGCTGGCGCTGTTGTTGACATTGCCCACCACCTTCACCGTGGGCAGCGAGTGACCGGGCAGCCGCCAGAAGTGAAGAAGCTCTTTTAGGTGGCAGCTGACGCCCTCCTCACCCTCTTCTTCTCCATCACCACTGACCAGGGCAATCTTCAGTGCCGAGCAGGCCTTCTGCCCGTCCGCCGGGTTGAGCATTCGCACGAGGCCCTTGCCGAAGAGCGCCTTCACGTCCTTGACGACCATGGCGCCCACGGTGGCGGCGAACTGCTCCGCCGTGTTGACGTGCTGCGACCGACTCTGGAAGGTGAGGTTCAGCTCCTGGAAGGCGTCGAAACGCCGGGCGAGGTCGGTGCTCCGGTGGAGGAGGGCGTTTCTGTTGGAGAAAACGGGGGAAACAAGGTCTTTAGTTCCACTTGATGGGACATCATTGTCCCTAAAGATCGCTAGAAATGCTCACATTGTGGATGAAGCACTGTCTGCACCGTTGTCATCAGTAAGTTGTTGTTGTCTCAGCCGCCGTCGTTGCCGCCTGTTGCCGTCTATCTTGGCAACAAACTTCTCCAACAGGCGGTAGTACTCGGCGTCGAGCGTCTTTGCGAAACTGGCGTCAATCTTCGAGATGAACATCTGCATTAGGTGCTCCTCCAGGGAGGCGTCGCACCGGTCGAGGAGGTAGCCGAAGAACTTGCAGGAGTCATCGCGGATGGACTCGTTGATGTGCGTGATGCCGCAGTTGACGAAGGTGAGCAGGATGGAGAGAAGCGGGGAGAGTGACTCCTTTTGGCCTGAGGAGGACTGACCTTCACCACCTTCACCACCGCTGGCGCCGGAAATGGCGGTGAGACAGGTCTTGAGGCAGTTGATGGCGGCCTCGCGAACTCGGTGATCAACGNGCGGGGAGAGTGACTCCTTTTGGCCTGAGGAGGACTGACCTTCTCCACCTTCATCACCACTGGCGCCGGAAATGGCGGTGAGACAGGTCTTGAGGCAGTTGATGGCGGCCTCGCGAACTCGGTGATCAACATCGGTGAGGAACTTCCCCACCACCTGAATCTGCTCGCCGCCCTGCGCCGACACTGCCAACGACTCTCCTAGGTCCTTGTTCAGCTTGCCGAGGTACTTCAGCTTCAGCGCGGTGTTGATCGAAGCGCTGGACAGCAGTCGAATGAGGTCGGCCGAGGAGGAGTTCGAAAAGGGCTTCACGAAGATCTTCTTCGCCTTGAACTCCGGCTTCGTCTCGTTGAGGTGCTTCGGCAGCCGCCGTCCCGCCTTGATCTTCACCTTCTTGAAGTCGGGGGCGTTCTTCCGGCGATTCATCTTGGCCATCTTGGCCGAGGCGGGACTTAGGAAGAAGTTTTGGAGAAAACAGAATGAAAAATGCTTGTTTGTGTACTATTTTTTTGGCACGTGCGCCAGTGTCGGTGAGAGTGCGGCGCAAAGCGTGGAAATAGCTCTCGAAACAGCTGCTGCTGACTTCTTCTGTTGATGCAAGAGAAAGGCAACTCTCCGAATTCCTTCTGTCTCGTGGTGCTCTAGACCGGCAACCAGAACTTCGTCCACCAGGTCGTGGTCTTCTCCACTAGGTCCTTTGGGAACAGCAGCAAACAACCACC